TTATTCAATGAAATGTATGAGCATTTTAGTCAGGTTTTAGTCAATGAAATCTTAGTCACATTTTCGTCATTCTGTATAATGGTTAAACTGATAAAAATTATTTTTTTCTCAAAATTATAATCGTAATGTTCGTTGTCATTTGAGAAATTTACTTTTGCATTTCAGGTATTGCACTTTCACCAGTAAGCACAAATCAATAGAATGTGGACATTGGCTATACATGGTGTATTTTACTTTATCTAGTGCACTGATTTATTATAGGCTTTTTTTATATAAATTAATACCAAAGACTTATGCAATCTCTCGGTCTACATTATGAAATCAGCTAAAACAAACAAAAAATATTAAAACAGTGAAATTAGTAATTCCACTCATTCCAAATTGCAATAGCCTATTTCTCTATTAAAACAACAGCGGTTGAGTAAGTGCCATTTACTCAGCGATCACAATCGCAAACAATATAGTAGAGATCTCATGACAGAACACAGACCGTCTGAATGATGCTTTCAATTCGATCGCTAAACTCCAGCTTGTTTGTCGGTGTTTTCAGATTATCGGCGGCGGCGCTTCCACAATGAGGAGCGAGCGCGTGCGCATGGTTGCCAGATTGCTTAAATTAAGCAAAACACCGGGCAGAAAATGTATCCTTGTAACAGCGAAGCTCAGATTCGGGGATTTTAACTCTTGATATCTGGCAACTGCACTCATGAAAGCTCGCCTAGCAGAGGCGTGTAGAACTGTGCGCAATAACATTTTGTCTCCTTTTTAATTGCATGTTGGTATAGTCTTAGTTATCGTTTATTGACCTTATTATCGTCTCATCTAAGTCTTGTCTTAGTCATGGGAAAAAAAGCTCGTCAACGAACATTTTTCTTCATAGTCTTCGATAACGAAATTAACACTAGCAGAGACCATCTGATCTGGTGGCTACGATGACCTCGGAATAAGAAAGAAACAGCAGTGTTGACAGAACTGGGCTAATATGGTCATACTTCCTGGTTCCTAGTAAGAACTCTAGCTGCTGCATTTTGAACCAGCTGGAGTTTATTTATTAAGCATGCAGAGCAACCACCCAAAATAGCATTACAATAATCTAACCTTGAGGTCATGAACGCTTAACAGCCCTAGTACTGAGCCTTGAGGTACTCCATACTGCACTTGTGATCAATATGATGCCTCTTCATTCACTGCTACGAATTGATGGCCGTCAGATAAGTAGTTTTTGAAGTACTATTTGAATGATGCTAATGCACTTCCATTAATGCCAACAAAGTTTTCTAGTCTATTCAAAAGAATGCTGTGGTCAATAGTGCCGAACGCAGCACTAAGATCCAGTAGTAATTAGAGCAGTCTCAGTACTATGATACGGTCTAAATCCTGACTGGAAATCCTCACAGATACCATTTTTCTCTAAGAAGGAATATAATTGTTAGGGTGAGAGTATAATTGTGCGGGTGATGTACTTATGACGTAACTTATGTAAACTAACAAACACGAACATATATGTACGCACATATATATATATTAGTGCTGTCAAATGATTAATTGCATCCAAAATATTTTTTTTATGTAATATATCTGTGTGCACTGTGTATATTTCTTATGTATATATAAAATGACAAACACAACAAAATTTCTAAAATTCAAATGAAAAGGAAAATATAAAAACAAATTCAAAATATTAATAAAATCCTCTGAATGATACTAAAATGGCACTTTTTCCCATTATTGACAAAGTACATGTTTTTGGTGTATAGTAGACATATGTGGATTGGAAATGCCATTGATTTGAGCTTTAGGAAGCTGGGAAACTCCTGACCGGAATTGATGTGTCGTCTCATTCTCTGTTTAACAGGTCAAACTGTCCGACTTTGGATTCTGCGCTCAGATCAGCAAAGACATCCCGAAGAGAAAGTCGTTAGTCGGGACTCCGTATTGGATGGCGCCGGAGGTGGTTTCAAAGACGCCCTACGGCACGGAGGTAACGAACATCATCAACCTTACCTTTAATTCCATCAGATCACATATGATATGAAGTAAACAATCTTAATGGGTGAGATTATTATCATAAAGATGCTGGTTGAGCCATATGTCACAATGCCACAGCAGATATTTAAAGCATATAATGCTGTGATTAAGACCTTTTAATGAGAGGATTAGAGTCAATGCATAATATTTGCATAGAGATAAAGGTGGATTCGCTTTACCGGATGTTGAATCTATTATAAAGCGTTAGAAATCTCTACTACAACATAACATGACCGATCTTACATTGCTTCATTCACCGAAGGTTTGGAAAGCCTGACTAATTTGGCAAAGAGACCTTAATAGTGACATTGATAAGGACAAGTGGAATAGAGTTTCTATGGTGTTACACATGTTAACTGGGTAGTTTGAGCAATAATCATGCTGGAAGTGAAAGAAAGAAACATGAAACATGCATAAAAATACTGCCTTTTTTGGAAATTGTGTTGTAATATCTTGAGAGATTGTTGGGAAATCGACTTTAGAGGATAAAACAGATTGATCAGTTTAAAACAATGAGTTTTCCCTTCCTACTAAACAATACATGTTTTTGCTAATGTTCACATGTAGTTATGAATTTCTGAATGTTCAAAATATCCAGTTTTTAAAATGTTTTTTTTTTGTTATTTTTGTGGTTATGCAAAACTTGAGGGAACGTTCCGTTTTAGAATTCTTGCAAACATTTTCGATTGTGAACGTTACTTTTGAATGTTCTCTGAACGTTCTGAAACAGTAACATTTAAAAAAACAAAACAAAAAAAAAAACGTTACATTAATGTTTTTTAAGGGAAAAAACATTCAATGAATGATGTGTAAATAGTAATGAAAGCTTTATTTCTAGATATTAAAAACATCCTTTTTTAAAAAGGTTTTTTTTGGTTATACAAACATTTAGGGAACATTAAATTTCATGTTACTCTTGAATGTTTCCTGAACAATTTTAAAATGAGTAGAAACATTTAAAAAATGTGAGATGAACATCCAACTAAAATGTTTCCGAAAAAAACATACCATGAATAATGAATTATTTGTATTTTTTTAAACATTTAATTTTTGTTAACAAATTTTTAGGGAACATTCCATTTTATTATTTTCAAACATTACGGGACCGCTACTTTTGAATGTTCTCGGTATGTTCTGAAACGTGCAGTAAAATTTTAAAAAGCATTAGAGGAATGTTCAAATAAAACGTTTCAGGAAAAAAAAAACACTCCGTGAACAATGTGTGAATAATGTTTTTGTGCTAACTTTTTAAAACTCTGAACGAACGTTCTATTAATGTTTGTTCATTATTTTTTAGAGAAGGATCTCTGTTAGCTGGATTGTTACTGCAGGTAATTTAGTCAGAGCAGATACTGGACAGACAGCTAAAACATGGACTGAATCACTGATTATAAATGCTGGCAAAACTGCATTGAAATCAGACTCGTACAGACATTCACTTCATAGGAAGTCCATTGCTTCTATTGTCTTCCAACTTTGCATCTTGTTGTGCATTACATGCTGGTATTTGTGGTTTTGTGTCTGTTGTGTTCAGCTTTTGTTTGTACCAGGTGTTATGCATAAAATAAACTAATACATTTAATGTTCAAAAAGAAAAAGAATGATTGGAAAAGTCATGAAAACGCATTGGTCCAAAGCCTTGGGAAACCTGTATTTATTTATATATGCATATTTTAGTTTGTAATAGTTTTACGTTTGTTTCCTCATATTTTTCACTGACTCACAGTACAATACAAGTGTCTGTGTGACTGGCAAACAGCTGCTCAGAGAACTTCTCAGACGCTTCTACATGAACTTTATCTATAGTTCTTTGTGATTCTTGAGAAGGTTGCGTTTGTTCCTCGGAATGAGGAATCAGAATTAGTGAGGCAGAGATGCTGCTTTCTGCTGAAGTGAAAGATCCTGATGTTTTGTGTGTTTGTAGGTGGACATGTGGTCTCTGGGGATCATGGTGGTGGAGATGATCGATGGAGAACCTCCGTATTTCAGCGAGACGCCGATAGCAGCGATGAAGAGACTGCGGGATGAGCCGGCGCCGACCGCCAGAAACATCAGCAGGGTAAAACCTGCATAACCTCAACAGTTCATTCAGTCAACTAAAACTGAAGCTAAAACTATATTCATATCATAATCAATTCAGTTTAGTTTGACTTGATGTAATAAAATAACTAAAACTGAAATAAAAAATAATAAAAATTATATAGAATTATAATTAACAGAAAAATAATAACTTTAAAAATATTAATGCAAACTACAATAAGCATCCCAAATAACACAGAATGTGAAATTATAACATGCATATGTTCATGCAGTGCTGTTATTTATGGAAGCCCGTTTCCGCCACTGAATAAAAAATAAAAAAAGGTAAGATATACTTAAGATATATATAAACGTCATAATTGCGAGATATAAAAGCGAGATATAAAAGTCATAATTGCGAGATATAAACGTCAGAATTGCGAGATATAAAAGTCATAAGTGCGAGATATAAAAGTCATAATTGCGAGATATAAACGTCAGAATTGCGAGATATAAAAGTCATAAGTGCGAGATATAAAAGTCATAATTGCGAGATATAAACGTCAGAATTGCGAGATATAAAAGTCATAAGTGCGAGATATAAAAGTCATAATTGCGAGATATAAACGTCAGAATTGCGAGATATAAAAGTCATAAGTGCGAGATATAAAAGTCATAATTGCGAGATATAAACGTCAGAATTGCGAGATATAAAAGTCATAAGTGCGAGATATAAAAGTCATAATTGCGAGATATAAACGTCAGAATTGCGAGATATAAAAGTCATAAGTGCGAGATATAAAAGTCATAATTGCGAGATATAAACGTCAGAATTGCGAGATATAAAAGTCATAAGTGCGAGATATAAAAGTCATAATTGCGAGATATAAACGTCAGAATTGCGAGATATAAAAGTCATAAGTGCGAGATATAAAAGTCATAATTGCGAGATATAAACGTCAGAATTGCGAGATATAAAAGTCATAAGTGCGAGATATAAAAGTCATAATTGCGAGATATAAACGTCAGAATTGCGAGATATAAAAGTCATAAGTGCGAGATATAAAAGTCATAATTGCGAGATATAAACGTCAGAATTGCGAGATATAAAAGTCATAAGTGCGAGATATAAAAGTCATAATTGCGAGATATAAACGTCAGAATTGCGAGATATAAAAGTCATAAGTGCGAGATATAAAAGTCATAATTGCGAGATATAAACGTCAGAATTGCGAGATATAAAAGTCATAAGTGCGAGATATAAAAGTCATAATTGCGAGATATAAACGTCAGAATTGCGAGATATAAAAGTCATAAGTGCGAGATATAAAAGTCATAATTGCGAGATATAAACGTCAGAATTGCGAGATATAAAAGTCATAAGTGCGAGATATAAAAGTCATAATTGCGAGATATAAACGTCAGAATTGCGAGATATAAAAGTCATAAGTGCGAGATATAAAAGTCATAATTGCGAGATATAAACGTCAGAATTGCGAGATATAAAAGTCATAAGTGCGAGATATAAAAGTCATAATTGCGAGATATAAACGTCAGAATTGCGAGATATAAAAGTCATAAGTGCGAGATATAAAAGTCATAATTGCGAGATATAAACGTCAGAATTGCGAGATATAAAAGTCATAAGTGCGAGATATAAAAGTCATAATTGCGAGATATAAACGTCAGAATTGCGAGATATAAAAGTCATAAGTGCGAGATATAAAAGTCATAATTGCGAGATATAAACGTCAGAATTGCGAGATATAAAAGTCATAAGTGCGAGATATAAAAGTCATAATTGCGAGATATAAACGTCAGAATTGCGAGATATAAAAGTCATAAGTGCGAGATATAAAAGTCATAATTGCGAGATATAAACGTCAGAATTGCGAGATATAAAAGTCATAAGTGCGAGATATAAAAGTCATAATTGCGAGATATAAACGTCAGAATTGCGAGATATAAAAGTCATAAGTGCGAGATATAAAAGTCATAATTGCGAGATATAAACGTCAGAATTGCGAGATATAAAAGTCATAAGTGCGAGATATAAAAGTCATAATTGCGAGATATAAACGTCAGAATTGCGAGATATAAAAGTCATAAGTGCGAGATATAAAAGTCATAATTGCGAGATATAAACGTCAGAATTGCGAGATATAAAAGTCATAAGTGCGAGATATAAAAGTCATAATTGCGAGATATAAACGTCAGAATTGCGAGATATAAAAGTCATAAGTGCGAGATATAAAAGTCATAATTGCGAGATATAAACGTCAGAATTGCGAGATATAAAAGTCATAAGTGCGAGATATAAAAGTCATAATTGCGAGATATAAACGTCAGAATTGCGAGATATAAAAGTCATAAGTGCGAGATATAAAAGTCATAATTGCGAGATATAAACGTCAGAATTGCGAGATATAAAAGTCATAAGTGCGAGATATAAAAGTCATAATTGCGAGATATAAACGTCAGAATTGCGAGATATAAAAGTCATAAGTGCGAGATATAAAAGTCATAATTGCGAGATATAAACGTCAGAATTGCGAGATATAAAAGTCATAAGTGCGAGATATAAAAGTCATAATTGCGAGATATAAACGTCAGAATTGCGAGATATAAAAGTCATAAGTGCGAGATATAAAAGTCATAATTGCGAGATATAAACGTCAGAATTGCGAGATATAAAAGTCATAAGTGCGAGATATAAAAGTCATAATTGCGAGATATAAACGTCAGAATTGCGAGATATAAAAGTCATAAGTGCGAGATATAAAAGTCATAATTGCGAGATATAAACGTCAGAATTGCGAGATATAAAAGTCATAAGTGCGAGATATAAAAGTCATAATTGCGAGATATAAACGTCAGAATTGCGAGATATAAAAGTCATAAGTGCGAGATATAAAAGTCATAATTGCGAGATATAAACGTCAGAATTGCGAGATATAAAAGTCATAAGTGCGAGATATAAAAGTCATAATTGCGAGATATAAACGTCAGAATTGCGAGATATAAAAGTCATAAGTGCGAGATATAAAAGTCATAATTGCGAGATATAAACGTCAGAATTGCGAGATATAAAAGTCATAAGTGCGAGATATAAAAGTCATAATTGCGAGATATAAACGTCAGAATTGCGAGATATAAAAGTCATAAGTGCGAGATATAAAAGTCATAATTGCGAGATATAAACGTCAGAATTGCGAGATATAAAAGTCATAAGTGCGAGATATAAAAGTCATAATTGCGAGATATAAACGTCAGAATTGCGAGATATAAAAGTCATAAGTGCGAGATATAAAAGTCATAATTGCGAGATATAAACGTCAGAATTGCGAGATATAAAAGTCATAAGTGCGAGATATAAAAGTCATAATTGCGAGATATAAACGTCAGAATTGCGAGATATAAAAGTCATAAGTGCGAGATATAAAAGTCATAATTGCGAGATATAAACGTCAGAATTGCGAGATATAAAAGTCATAAGTGCGAGATATAAAAGTCATAATTGCGAGATATAGAAGTCTTAATTGCGAGATATAAAAGTCATAATTGCGAGATATAAAAGTCAGAATTGCGAGATATAAAGTCCAGTTCTGAGGAGAAAAACAAGTTCTGATATGTTCTCAGAATTGACTTAACTCGCAATTGCAAGTTTATATTACACAATTCTGACTTCATTTCTCAGAACTGCGAGTCTATATCTCACAATTCTGACTTTATAACTCACAATTGCGAGTTTACATCTCACAATTCTGAGAAAAAATCTGTTTTTCAAAAATTTAAACCGATCAGTGGCAGAAACGGGCTTCCATAGTTGTTGTACAGTAAAACTATAAAAGATCATTAATTAAAATAAAGCTGAAATGAAATATTAATATTAGATGAAACACTTAAACTTCAAAAATGTAAATGTTAATTTTTTTTATAAATGTTTAAAAGTACTAGTTAGTAAAACTGAAAAATAAATAGAAAAAATAAAGCTTAATAAAAATCTACCCCCATTAATAAAAATGACATTTTCATTAATTAAAAATCCGAAATGAAATAAAATATAAATATTCGATGAAACACTTAAATAATTTTTTTTAATAAAAATGATATTTTTAAAAGTAGTAAAATTAATAAAACTAAAACTGAAAAATTAATAAAACTTAAATAGAAATATTAAAAAACAAAAATGAATAAAAAATGACAAAAACAGAACAAAATTACTGAAATTAAAATTCTAAAATTTAAAGCTAATATAAATCTAACATAAAAAAATAAAAGCTAATTCAAAATATTAACAAATACTATAAATATATAAACAATACAAAAACAACACTTATTACACTTTAATTAAACTACTAAAAATCATTTTCATTAATTAAAAAAGCCTAAATTAAATAAAATAGAAATAATAGATGAAACACTTAAACTTAAAAAATGCAAACTGACAATTATGAATGTTTAAAAGTACCACAATTACTAAAACTAAAAAATTATTAAAAAGCTAAATAGAAATGTATTAAACAATTAAATAAAAATGACAAAGGCACAACAAAATTACTAAAGTTCAAATTGTAAGAGATAAAAGCTAATATAAATGTAATATAAAAAATAAATTAAAGCTTAATAGAAATATTAAAAAATAAATAAAAAGGACAAAGAACATAACAAATTACTAAACTTAAAATTGTAAAATTTAAAGGCTAATATAAATTTGATAAAAATGAAAGCTATAATACTAAAACAATACTGACTTCATGCATAAATAAAATAAAATCACTTAATTACTGTATATCATGAATACCATAAACACAAGTGTCCCTAAAATCTGCTTAAAAAGAGACTTAAAATGAAGAAAATTAATCCTACTTTCAGGACCATGAAGTTATGTTTGGTCATTACGATGTTTGATATTATGTATAATGATCTCTGTGGTGTGATCAGATCTCTCCCGTCCTGAGGGACTTTCTGGACTCGATGTTGACGTGTGATCCGCTGGAGCGAGCGAGCGCCGGAGATCTGCTCCAGCACCCCTTCATGCTGCAGGCCACTTCTCCTCGCTGTCTGGTGCCGCTGGTGGAGCAGTACCGCAAACGCATGTCACGATGCTGACCTTTAGCACTTTAGAGACTGTGAACCTTCCTGATGTACTGGAAAAACCCTGACGTTCCTCTGGAGAACCTCATGGAGGAGGACAGGAGCGGTTCCCCCCAAAACCATCATTCTGTCAGCATTTATTCCTCTTATTCTAATGCGTTTGCACAGAACTGTTGACATTATGTGTCGCGTGTAATATAGACTGTGCTGATGGGTTTATTAAATACATCTGATGATCGTTCACAATGTATGGAAGCCTGTTTCTGCTCCAGGACAAGGAATTAAAAGGTAATTGTGACCTTATTTCTTGCAATTCTGAGGGGAAAAAAACGTTAACTTACAATTGCGAGACAAAAAAAAAGGTAATTCTAAGAAGAAAAGTAAAAATTGTGAGAAAAAAAATGTAATTGTGAGATATAAACTCAGAAGTGGTGGTGAAAAGGTCAGAATCAGAAATGTGAGATACAAACAGAATTGCAAGATAAAAAGACAGAATTACAAGAAAAAGTCAGAATTGTGAGATGTAAACTAAGAATTGCAAGAAAAATGTAGAATTGTAAGATACAAAGTCAGAATCGCGAGATATGAACTAAGAATTGTAATAAACACAAAACCTTATATAGCTTATATATGAACATATTGCAGTACAAAAGTTGAGACCACACAAAAAAAAATACAAAAAAAAAATTTTGCATTCCATTCTAACCATTTTTTCCATTACAAATATATTATTAGCATAACAATTTGACCAAAAAAATAAAAAAATAATTGGTCTCAGGTTTTTGGGCTCCACTGCAGTTTTCTAAATCATGAATCACATAAACAATGTGTTTATGCATAAGATATGATGTATCACATTGCATTAATTGCAAAGAAAATGTGAAGATCATGCTTAATGCTAGAGGTATGTCTAATATTTCTAAAGGATGGAAACAATCAGGGAGGTGTTTGTTGTCTATATAAGGATATCAACAACTAAAGGTCTTGTTACTGACCCCACACCACTGTTAACTCTTGATAAAATCCCTGTCCTTGTGTTCTTTCCTTTCACATCCTTATTTGGATCTCCGTTACCCTCTATAAAAACCAAGCACTAGTGGTTTGCGTCTTTAAAGTTTCCTCAGCCGAGGTGTGCTCATCAAATCTCTCTGTACCTGGAAATCTCAAGCAGTCACTATGGGTGATGCTCTGATGGCAGAGTTTGGAAAGGCCGCTCCCTTCTTGAGGAAGTCGGACAAAGAGCGTCTGAAAGCTCAGACGAGAGCTTTTGACATCAAGACCGAATGCTTTGTTGTGGATGAAAAGGTGGAGTATGTGAAGGGGCAAATTGTCAGCAAGGAAGGAGGGAAGGTGACTGTAAAGACTGAGGGCGGGAGGACAGTGACCGTCAAGGATGGAGACGTCCATCCCCAGAACCCGCCTAAATTTGATAAAATCGAAGACATGGCGATGCTCACTTTCCTTCATGAGCCTGCAGTGCTGTTCAACCTCAAAGAGCGCTACGCAGCCTGGATGATCTACACCTACTCAGGGCTGTTCTGCGTAACCGTCAACCCTTACAAGTTGTTACCCGTGTACGACTCAGAAGTAGTTGCGGCTTACAGAGGTAAGAAGAGATCAGAGGCCCCACCGCACATCTTTTCTATCTCAGATAATGCTTATCAATACATGCTAACGGACCGGGAGAACCAGTCCATCCTTATCACCGGAGAATCCGGTGCTGGGAAGACAGTCGACACCAAGAGAGTAATCCAGTATTTTGCCAGCATTGCTGCCGTGGGTGGAGCGACCGGAAAGAGAGACTCCAGCAAGGGAACCCTGGAGGATCAGATTATCCAGGCAAACCCTGCACTCAAGGCTTTCGGCAATGCTAAAACTGTGAGAAACGACAACTCGTCTCGCTTTGGGAAATTCATCTGCATTCATTTCGGGACTAGCGGTAAACTCTCCTCGGCTGATATCGAAACGTACCTGCTGGAGAAGTCTCGGGTGACCTTTCAACTGAAAGCTGAGAGGAACTACCATATCTTCTTCCAAATACTGTCCAATGAAAAGCCTGAACTACTGGACATGATGTTGATAACCAATAATCCACATGACTGCTCTTACATCTCCCAAGGAGAAGTATCACAGTATTCACAGCTGAAGAAAAGATGGGAGTCTACAAGCTGACGGGTGCTATCATGCACTATGGCAATATGAAGTTCAAACAGGAACCGCGTGAAGAGCAGGCAGAGCCTGACGGTACTGAAGATGCAGATAAGGCAGCTGATCTAATAGGGCTGAACTCTGCTGACCTGCTCAAAGGACTCTGCCATCCAAGGGTCAAGGTAGGCAATGAGCACTTTACAAAAGGACAGAGTGTGGACCAAGTGTATTACTCAATTGGTGCACTAGCAAAGTCAGTGTATGAGAAAATGTTCAACTGGATGGTGGTAAGAATTAACCAATCCCTTGACACGAAGCAACATCGGCAATATTTCATCGGCGTGCTAGACATCGCTGGCTTTGATATCTTTGATTTCAACACGTTTGAACAACTCTGCATCAATTTTACCAATGAAAAGCTGCAACAGTTTTTCAATCACCACATGTTCGTTCTGGAACAAGAGGAATAAAAAAAGAGGGGATTGACTGGGAGTTCATTGACTTCGGGATGGATCTGCAAGCCTGCATCGATCTGATTGAGAAACCCCTCGGGATCATGTCCATTCTCGAGGAAGAGTGCATGTTTCCAAAGGCCAGTGATCAGACATTCAAAGCAAAGCTGTATGACAACCATTTGGGCAAGACAAACATTTTCCAGAAGCCGCGAGTTGTGAAGGGAAAGGCAGAAGCGCACTTCGCCTTGGCCCACTATGCAGGTACTGTTGACTATAATATTTCCGGCTGGCTGGTGAATAACAAAGACCCACTGAATGAAACTGTAGTTGGGCTCTATCAGAAATCCTCTTTGAAGTTGTTGAGTCATCTATTCTCAAATTATGCAGGAACAGAGGGAGCAGAAAAGTCTGGTGGGAAAGGGGCCAAGAAAAAGGGGTCATCTTTTCAGACAGTGTCTGCCCTGCACAGAGAAAACCTTAACAAATTAATGATCAATCTGAAAACCACACTTTGTCCGTTGTTTGATTCCAAATGAAAGCAAGACTCCTGGAATCATGGACAACTGTCTGGTCATGCACCAGCTTCGCTGCAATGGTGTACTGGAGGGTATCAGGATTTGCAGGAAAGGTTTCCCGAACAGGATCCTCTATGGTGATTTCAAACAGAGGTACAGAATCCTAAATGCATCTGCCATCCCAGAAGGTCAGTTCATTGAAAACAAGAAAAGTGCAGAGAAGTTGTTAGGCTCACTAGACATTGACCATACGCAATACACTGCAAAAAATGCTTTTCTAGCTTATATCTTTTGTTTTGTTTCCAGCCAAAATATCTAAAAATTCTTAAATCAAGAAGGATTTTCTAGACAAGTAAAAATTATTGTCTTGTTTTCAGAAAAAACAAGTCGAATTCAAGTGAGTTTTTATAATCTGCCAGTGGGGTAAGAAAATAATCTTGCTTTCTGTTTGAATTAACAATCCTTTGAATTAATCCTTCTTGATTTAAGAATTTTTAGATATTTTGGCTGGAAACAAGACAAAAGATCTAAACTAGAAAAGCATTTTTTGCAGTGTACAAATTTGGCCACACAAAAGTCTTTTTCAAAGCTGGCCTGCTCGGTACGTTAGAAGAGATGCGAGATGACCAACTGGATTACTGATGAGAGTTGAGTATCAGAAACTGGTGGAACGAACAGATGCCCTCATGGTCATTCAGTGGAACCTTTGTTCCTTCCTTGGTGTGAAAAACTGGCCATGGATGAAACTGTTCTTTAAGACAGAACCTTTGCTAAGGAGTGCCGAGTCTGAAAAGGAGATGGCAAACATGAAGGATGAATTCAATAAGTTAAAAGAAGCGTTGGAGAAATCTGAGGCCAGGAGGAAAGAGTTAGAGGAGAAGATAGTCTTCTTCAAGAGTATAATGATTTGCTTCTTCAGCTGCAATCAGAGCAAGACACCTTAACGGATGCTGAAGAACGATGTGAACAGCTCATAAAAAGCAAAATCCAGCTAGAAGCAAAAGTCCATTTTTTGCAGTGTACAAATTTGGCCACACAAAAGTCTTTTTCAAAGCTGGCCTGCTCGGTACGTTAGAAGAGATGCGAGATGACCAACTGGATTACTGATGAGAGTTGAGTATCAGAAACTGGTGGAACGAACAGATGCCCTCATGGTCATTCAGTGGAACCTTTGTTCCTTCCTTGGTGTGAAAAACTGGCCATGGATGAAACTGTTCTTTAAGATAGAACCTTTGCTAAGGAGTGCCGAGTCTGAAAAGGAGATGGCAAATATGAAGGATGAATTCAATAAGTTAAAAGAAGCGTTGGAGAAATCTGAGGCCAGGAGGAAAGAGTTAGAGGAGAAGATAGTCTTCTTCAAGAGAATAATGATTTGCTTCTTCAGCTGCAATCAGAGCAAGACACCTTAACGGATGCTGAAGAACGATGTGAACAGCTCATAAAAAGCAAAATCCAGCTAGAAGCAAAAGTCAAAGAGCTGTCAGAACGTATAGAGGATGAGGAAGAGATAAACGCAGACCTCACAGCCAAGAAACGCAAGTTGGAGGATGAATGTTCTGAGCTCAAAAAAGATATAGATGACCTAGAGCTGACATTGGCCAAGGTGGAAAAGGAAAAACATGCCACTGAGAACAAAGTAAAGAATCTGACCGAAGAAATGGCATCTCTTGATGAAACATAATGAAACTCACCAAAGAGAAAAAAGCTCTACAAGAGGCTCACCAGCAAACATTGGATGACCTTCAAAGTGAGGATTACAAAGTAAATACATTAACAAAAGCTAAAGCTAAGCTTGAACAACAGGTGGATGACCTTGAGGGCTCATTGGAGCAAGAGAAAAAAGTTAAGATGGACTTGGAGTGAAGCAAAAGAAAACTGGAAGGAGATGTGAAACTGACTCAAGAGAATGTAATGGATTTGGAGAATGACAAACAGCAGCTAGAGGAAAAACTTAAAAAGAAAGACTTTGAAACTAATCAGCTGAACGGAAGGATTGAAGATGAGCAAATGGCTTCAGCACAGTTGCAGAAAAAACTAAAAGAAAATCAAGCTCGAATTGAAGAACTGGACTGCTCGTGCAAAGGTGGAGAAACAACGATCTGATATTTCTCGAGAACTGGACGACATCAGTGAGCGCCTGGAAGAGGCAGATGGGGCCACATGTGCTCAGGTAGAACTCAATAAAAAAAGGGAGGCCGAATTTCAAAAGTTGCGCAGGGACCTTGAGGAAGCCACCCTTCAGCATGAGGCTACTACTGCCTCCCTTCGGAAGAAGCATGCAGACCGTGTGGCTGAACTAGGGGAACAGATCGACAATTTGCAAAGGGTCAAACAAAAGTTAGAGAAAGAAAAAGTTGAATTCAAGTTGGAATTGGATGACCTTTCCTCAAATATGGAGAGTGTGGTAAAAGCCAAGGTAAATCTTGAAAAGATGTGCCGTTCACTGGAAGATCAGTTGAATGAGCATAGGTCAAAAGCTGAAGAAGCCCAGAGCTCTGAATGATTTGTCTACCCAGAAAGCCAAGCTGCTGACTGAAAATGGGGAACTTGGACGACAACTGGAAGAGAAGGAATGTCTGATTTCCCAGCTCACTAAAGGAAAGACCTGCTACACCCAGCAACTTGAAGACCTGAGAAGGCAACTTGAGGAAGAGGTGAAAGCAAAGAATGCTCTTGCTGTACAGTTGGTCCGTCATGACTGTGACTTACTAAGAGAGCAATTTGAGGAGGAACAAGAAGCAAAAGCTGAGCTCCAACGGGCATTATCCAAGGCCAATACAGAGGTAGCAACATGGAGGGCATGGTATGAGACTGACGGAATTCAGAGAACGGAGGAACTGGAGGAAGCCAAGAAGAAGCTTGTACAAAAATTGCAAGAAGCAGAGGAAGCAGTGGAAGCAGTGAATGCAAAGTGTTCTTCTCTTGAGAAAACAAAACATCGCCTGCAAAATGAGATTGAGGATCTGATGCTAGACCTTGAACGGTCAAATTCAGCATCAGCGGCCCTGGACAAAAAACAGAGATCCTTTGACAAAGTCATTGTGGAGTGGAAACAAAAGTACGAAGAGTCACAGTGTGAGCTTGAGGGAGCACAAAAGGAAGCCCGCAGCTTAAGTACCGAGCACTTTAAACTGAAGAATTCCTATGAAGAAACTCTAGATCACCTTGAGACTGTAAAGAGGGAAAACAAGAATCTACAGGAGGAGATCTCAGACTTAACAGATCAAGTGGGAGAAGGACGGAAGAGTGTCCATGAGTTAGAAAAACTGAGGAAACAGCTGGAACAGGAGAAAGCAGAGTTGCAGTCTGCACTAGAAGAAGCTGATGCTTCAGTTGAGCATGAAGAAGTTAAGATCCTACGAGCTCAACTGGAGTTCAACCAGTTGAAGGCAGATGTTGAGCGCAAGATGGCTGAGAAGGATGAGGAAATGGAACAAGCAAAAAGAAACTACCAATGTATGGTTGAATTCTTGTAGGCCTCCCTTGAGGCAGGGACGAGAAGCCGTAACGAGGCCTTAAGAGTAAAAAAGAAGATGGAGGGAGATCTTAATGAAATGGAAATTCAATTAAGCCAGGCCAACAGACAGGCAGCAGATGCTCAGAAGCAGCTGAATATGATCCAGTCGTGCTTAAAGGACACTCAACTACAGCTGGATGACACACTTCACAGTAATGATGATCTCAAAGAAAACATTGGCCTGTTGGAGTGCTGAAACAACCTGATTCAAGCAGAACTAGAAGAACTGAGAGCAGTGCTGGAACAAACCGAGAGGGGTCGCAAACTAGCTGAACAAGAACTTACTGAAGCAACCGAGAGGATGCAACTCTTGCACTCCCAAAACACCAGCCTCATCAACCAAAAGAAGAAGCAAGAGTCAGATCTGCTTCAGCTGCAAAATGAAATGGAGGAGCTGCTGCAAGAGAACCGCAATGCAGAAGAAAAGGCAAAGAAAGCCATCACTGATGCAGCTATGATGGCTGAAGAGTTAAAGAAGGAACAAGACACTAGTGCACACCTTGAAAGGATGAAAAAGAACATGGAACAGACCATTAAGGACCTACAGCAACGTCTAGATGAAGCAGAGCAAGTGGCAATATAAGGAGGCAAAAAGCAGCTACAGAAAATGGAGGCACGTATCCGTGAGCTTGAGAATGAGTTGGATACAGAGCAAAAGCGAGGTTCAGAATCACTTAAAAGTTCGAGAAAGTATGAGCGACGCATTAAGGAGCTGACTTATCAAACGGACGAGGATCGCAAGAACTTGGCAAGACTGCAGGACTTGGTGGACAAGCTACAACTGAAAGTAAAATCTTACAAACGTTCTGCTGAAGAAGCCGAGGAACAGGCAAATGCCAACCTGGCCAAATTACGAAAACTGCTAATTTATTTGAAGCTGCGGATTCGGGTGACGTTTTAGCTCATCCACGCATCACTAGCGGGCAGATATTGCAGAATCTCAAGTAAACAAGCTGCGTGCTAAAACTAGAGATGGTGTACCTGGAAAGAATCCCAGGATGAGTAATGTGTCTTGAGTAGTTGTGCAATCTCACCTAGATTTGTTTGTTCACTAGTTTTAAGATTAGTACCTGGAATCCTCTAAAGGATTAAACATTAGTCAAACCATAAATATGACTGAACAAAATAACACAAAGCCAATACTCAAAAATGAATGGGTTGGCTTATAATTTGAAATGCATTTTCATGTTAAAAATGAAATAAAATACTTTTAAATCACAGAATCTAATTCTTGTGTTTATCCCACCATACGACGTCAACATCTATTTACAGCAAGTTATATATAAAGACAAAAAAGACACAAGATTTATCATTTATCCCATTTATTTTCACATATTTTAGCTGACCAAAAGCAATTTATAAACTGGTTGAGGCCAACCACTTTTCAAATGGGAGTAGCACAGAACTAAACTTTTTCATACAAAAATAGGACAGACATTTCATCAGATTCAATACTGATCCATCCGTTCAGCAACAGCAGTAACAACAAACCTGAAAAAGAAAGAAAACTAAAACTACTCAAATTAAAACCACTTTAGTACTTTTGCAACCAATCTAACTCTGTAACATACAGTTTAATAAAAATTTTTACAGATATCACACAAAACATTGTTTTCAATGCATCTGTCTAGACTTCCCTTTTTAATGGAATACTACATATTTACATTTAATACAACATACAATCCATAACAGTTACAAAAAGAGCAGCACATTCTTTAAATATCCCATTTATTTTCACATATTTTAGCTGACCAAAAGCAATTTATAAACTGGTTGAGGCCAACCACTTTTCAAATGGGAGTAGCACAGAACTAAACTTTTTCATACAAAAATAGGACAGACATTTCATCAGATTCAATACTGATCCATCCGTTCAGCAACAGCAGTAACAACAAACCTGAAAAAGAAAGAAAACTAAAACTACTCAAATTAAAACCACTTTAGTACTTTTGCAACCAATCTAACTCTGTAACATACAGTTTAATAAAAACTACATATTTACATTTAATACAACATACAATCCGTAACAGTTACAAAAAGAGCAGCACATTCTTTAAAAGCCAGGCAAACCTCTTTTGTCTACTTCTTTCCCAAGTGCATGTTTTAGTCTCCTACATTCAGCACTCTGAAATCAAACATATGCAATTCTATTTACACATCTTTCAATATGCTGAGAAAATTCCAGCCTCGATATATACAAACATAAAATATATTGATCTTACAGAGACAACCCACATGCTTCAGTAAATCAAAAGATGTTACTTAAACACAGCAGATCATTCAAAACTCTAACAGCAGTTTAGATATAGTTACAGTGGACCTCCACTGGCCCAGATACAACCTGTATCCAAACACTTTAATAAGTTACAGAAAACATGCAAATATTGCATTAATTTTGTAGATAATATGCCACAAATTCAGGGCTTACATTGAGGGGACAGAGTTTGATTTGTCGGGCAAAAACCTTTGGTTTATTCTCTTTCCAGTACACTAGGAACCAAATGAATTCAGGCTAATACAATTCAAGTAGACAACATCAGTAGACAACAACAGTTCCTCAAATGTCACATTAGTGATTTAGAAACTTTAGCAAACGTAATTTGGTGTCTACTGTCTACCATATTCATTTCACAACTTTAACAGTGAGCCAAGATATCGCAACCTTTTAGGCAATTTCACCAGCAGCTTCCACTAAAAGGAGGTTCTCACTCCTCAGATTAAAAACATCATAATAACAAAGACTATATTCTCCAGTGCCAAAATCATATTTGTCCATGACTGGGTGGGGTTGAGAGTACAAATTTAATCTATGTCCGGGGTATTAACTTAGTCAGGGGTAGAGGCCATGTTAAGTTTGATGCAAACAAAAACGAGGCTGGGAAGGACCTTGGTAACTACTTTTCCAAAATGCACCTTTCCAAAACTTTCCAGTGGAAAACACAAATGACCTAAAACCTTAAGACAGCACAACCTACGTTCTACATCCACACGTCACTTCCTCCTTTCGTTCACATCAACTGGTGTCCACCCTAACTAAACTTGAGGATTTGTTTAGACACTGGATTCTCTTCAGTGTAGCAATAATTTGCAGCGTCAAAGCAAGTTTTACTAGTTCTGCCAAGTAACAACAAAAGGAGCAGTTTATTACATCAACATGCAAACTCTTACTTTCAGAGGTCGGATTCTTTCAGCTCTCGTAAGGCAGACACAGGGAACGTGTTTGTTAAATATCATTGAAAATAAAAAATATATATATTTACAGATGCAGAGCTCAAGTCATTGTATGGATAGAAAGGTTGTGCAATTCCTTTTACAGTGGACAGATGTGCTCAATGCACAGCAACTGTTTGTTTAGTAACAGCCATTATTTTGGGAAGTGCTACGCTAGTCAATATCCCAGAAAGATGAGGTTACTCACAGACTGGACGGTTGTGCTTGCTGCTGCAACGGCGCTTGATGCGAAGCTGGAGCCGCTTCGCAATCTTTCGATCCCTCGTCCGGACGTACGTGCAAAAGGAAGAGCGTGACAGTAGCGAAAGTGGCTGCGTTGACCGGAAAAGCCCGTAAAAGAGTGGAAGTAAGTCCACGCGTAAAAACCCGCCAACCTTCGCGCTGGATGCTCTTCCTTGTGCAGTCCATGATGCTGCTGTACTGGTACTTTCCGCCGACCCCATCGGCTTGGAGTCGGGATTTTATCACGTCCACAGGATACGTCGAAAGCCAAGACGCGATTCCCGACATGCCTCCGGCGAACAGCAGTTTGGGAATCATGTACGGATCCTCCGGCTCGCATCCCAGCGAACGCGTCAGGAGGTCATACGCAAGGAAATAAACGCCGAATCCCGGCGTCTCTCGGATGAGAGTCGTAACCATTCCTCGGTTGACTCCTCGCAAACCCTCGCGCTGGTAAATGCGAGCCAGGCAGTCCAGCGAGTTTTTGTAGACCTTCCGAGAGGACGACTTCTTCTCGCCCGTTCCTTGCATCTGCATTCGGGTCTTGGCCAGTTCCATCGGGCAGCAGATCACGCACTGGATGGTGCCGGCCGCCGCTCCGGCTAGGAACTGGTTCATGGGCGTATCCTCGCCCAACATGCGCATGGTGTTGCCCTGAACACCAAAGACGATGGCGTTGATGAACGTCAGGCCCATCATGGGCGACCCAATGCCTTTATAAAGGCCAAACATCTGTGGAGAAGGTGAAACAAAGTGATCCAAGGTGCATTTGTTTACATGCATATATGTGACCATGGAGCACAAAACCAGTCATAAGTAGCACAGGTATATTTGTAGCAATATCCAACAATGCATTGTATGGGTCAAAATTATCGATTTTTCTTTTATGCCAAAAAAAGATGTTTGGAAGATGGAAGATGTTTCGTAAATTTCCTACCATAAACATATCAAAACCTAATTTTTCATTAGTAATATGCATTGCTAAGAACTTAATTTGGACAACTTAAAAGGTGATTTTCTCAATATTTTAATTTTTTTGTAACCTCAGATTCCAGATTTTCAAATAGTTGTATCGTGGTCAAATATTTTCCTATCCTAACAAACCATACATCAATGGAAAGCTTATTTATTCAGCTGTATGTATAAATCTCAATATAAAAAAAAAGGACCCTTATGACTGGTTTTAAGGTCCAGGGGGCGTATTGCAGAAAGTTTCTTATCTTAGGTCTGAACTTAAGATGTGATATGTTAAATTAGGATGTTTCAGAAATTCGTATTACAGAAGCAAATCTTAACTTGATTTGGGATTCTTATCCTATCTTACAAAATCGTATCTTATCTCTAGTTAGGAAATCTTAAATTGCATTATCAAGCTCGACAATCCACTTTCAGGTCTGTTACCAAGCAACCAACACTGTGTGAGCTGCTGATGAGGTAAACAAAATAATAGAAGCTACTTCACTTTGAAAATCGCCTTTTGCAAAAAACCGTAACACCGTGTCTACACCGGACGCGACAGCTATTGTGTCGCGCCGCTCCGCGCCGCAACAGCTAAAGTCTGTCTACTGTACACTGGACGCAACAACGCGACCGTTGAAAATCATTTGAAATTTGTGTCAGCACGTCATAAATAGAACACGGCAGCAGTTTACTGTCGGGGATTTGTCGTTGTGCGCCGCAGCCAGTGTAGACAGCATCACTGATTATAATGAGTTCCAGAGGCGTCATGCCTATTCAAAGTGATTTTTGAGCCAAGTGGATTTTGAATGCAGCTTCCAAAAGACAAAAAATAGCCAATTAATATTTTCTATATTTAATACAATCACACCGGCGTGATTAAATCGTTCAGCGCGTCGATCATCAGCTGCTAAATTTAAATCTGCGCTCGCTGGCTGGCGCTGAGCCAGAGACATACTGTTCTTACAGCACTGCGCATTATAACCAATCACA